TCCCTTCATCTTCATATGCTTGTCTAGTTTACCGTTAAACATATCAATCCTATTTATTTCAATGACTTCCGGTGGCAGAGAGTTGCACACTTTGATTGATGTTTCTTCTGCATTCCCAATTTAATTTTTTGATTACAATCTTATAATGATAGCCTCTAGTTACACTTTACAGAAAAAAACAATTAAATCCAGCATAATAGGAAATCTCTAGTAAAGCTTTTTTGCCCTTGAGAGTGGGTAGGAAGGCTCTATAATGCTGCCTGGTGTTGGACATTCTAATGGAACCTAAACAATAAAAATACCATATAGCCACTTGGTAACATCATAACATAGTGATATTTTGATAATGGAATTCTTTTAGGAAATATTGGATTTTAAAGCAATTTGAAATTTTATATACACCATACTGAATAATAATGGCAGATTTCCCCTTTCCCTAATTAACATTTGTGACAACGATACATGATAACAAATTCATGGTCTCCATTGCTAGTTTTCAACTGCAGTTTTTTTTATATTAATTGAATTTAAACTGCACCTATTATGCTCTTATTTAAAGTTTATGATTTGGCAATTTCATGTTCCCAGAGCTTTAGCCTGTGTCTCTGGATTACTAGTCTACTAATGCTAACATTATGCCACCATTGCCCCATGATGACATCATTCTACTCCAATGCTTCCCCACTGTTGTTCATCTGTGTATCTTTTGCTTCGTTCCACTCTTTTTTGTCCATTTGTAGCCAGTGAATCATTTGAAATGGCTTATTTTCTATTTCCAACTGTTTTCTCCACTATGAAGTGATGTCTTCTATTCCTCACTTGTGCTTCTGTCATTCAATGTCGTTCAATGGCATAACATTTTCACTGATGCTGACAACATCCATCTCTATTCTACCTCTTACAAGTCATTCACACTTTCTAAAGTGATCAAGCTTCTTATCTAGCATCGGGATGGGATGAGTAGCAAAGCATATTTATGCCGTTGACACTTCAAGCCTGATTATTTGAGTTCACTTCTGGCAGGTCTCCCAATTCTATTCCTTGTAAACTAGAAGTGATCCAAAATTCTGCTGTCTGTCTTTATTTGCATCAAGTCACTTCCAACTATTACAGCAATGTTCAACAACTCATATTCAAGTGAAGTCTTCATTTAAAAAATTGCCATCCTTGTTTTCAGATTCCTCCATGACCTTGTCTCTCCCTATCTATTCAATCTTCTTCAGTCTACAACATCAGAGATATCTGCGCTTATCTAATTCTGCAGTCCTGACATCTCAATTCACAATTCTAATTAGACCACCCTTGGTGACTAAGTCTAGCCCCTTTGCTGCAGAAATTATTTCCTAAATCCCTGTGCTTCTGTAGTTCCCTTCCTTCCATCCAGATGTACCTTATGGTTTATCTGAACCATCAAGATGTTGGCCTTCTGGCCTAATATTGTTTTATGTACCTTGATTTCTAATTTTTCCTTATGAAGTGCTCTGGAATGTTCTAAGATATTTATGTTATGAATTCCAATTATAAAACATATTTCAATCTTGGTTTTTTTTTATAAATAAATGGACAAAATCTGCTTATTGAAGAAGATGGAAATCAACTAGGATACTAAAGGAAACAGATCTCCAACAGGGATCTCCAAAGCAACTTATATTTTTTTGAGATTAGCAGACAATTTCAGTTGATATATACCTAGATTGTTGATTATGCACTGAAAAATTTCAGAAATATGGTTTATGCATTTGTCAAGTTTTATTTCATTTGATAGTCCATAACAAGTAAAAACTGAGATAATTTTTCCACTATTACCTTTGCTATAATTGCTCTTCAAAGGAGTAACTTCTGAAGATCAGCTTTCGTATCCATAATTGTGAGGAGATACTGGTGTCCAGCTTTTGTTTTTGGTAATGGTCCCACACAATCTTTTCATACTTGACTGAATGGTTCTTCAAAAATGGGCATGGGTATTAAAAGTGTCAGTTTGACTACAGAGTTGAAGTTTTTCGACTACTTGAAAGATACAGTATGTTTTACGGAACAGCAGTACAATTGAAGTTTTGTGAAGTCTTGTTGAGGTAATATACCTATTTTTCAACAGAACCCTACTCTTAATATAAGAACACTCAGGAACCCCTTCAGCCTCAGCTTCACTATGAGATATCTGTGCTAACTTATTGGACTCTCAATCTGCTTTCTGAGCCTCAACTGAAGACATACCAAACATTTCCTTTGAATTATCCTGATCTTTAAGGAATATTTTCACTACTGTAGCATCTTCTTGTGATATGACTTTGACCTCAGGTGATGCGCTTTGTTTAGCAATTGCTCTGGTCACCGCACATGATGGAAAAAAAACAGAACTTGTTCCTCTAACTGTCCTGTCTCTTTAGCCTCATTTGGACTTTTTGTGCTTACGGTTGAAGCCGTAACCTTTGCTATAGAGCTTTGGCTGACAACAAGTAGCTGATTTGTCTGTAGACTAGGGTTTACTGAGATGATTCTTTTTGCCTCTCCAGATACTTTCACCTGTTTGTAGGAGGCACAGGATGACTGGTTCAGACGTATAAGGTCTCTGACTTATTGGTTAAGAGCCACAGCTTACAGCAACTGATGACAGCACATAAACAGGCTTTCTTCAAGTTTGAGATTTTAACTACAGAGGAAAGGATCAGCTCCTTCCTTTCTGGAGGTCTAATGGCATTTGCATAAACATTCACACCAAACAGATGTTCAGCCACCTGGGAGCCTTTCACATAGTTTTTGGTCTTTGGTCATTGACAACCAGTCACCAAACTGATCTCCTACTCTTCGGCTCCAGCTTATCTGCAATTAGACTCCCCATTCCCCCTCACTCACTGCTGTATAAAGAGTGCTTACAGTGAGTGTCAGGTAAATTGCTTTTAAAATGAGCAGCAAGCCTTCGTTTTTAAAACAGTCCTTTTCCCAATTCAGTCCACAACCAGAAATACAACAATAAATATTTACTGGTCTTTACACAAGGACAATGACAAGTTACGTGAGGAGGACACTGACAAGTTGGTGGAGTGGACAGACAAATGGCAGATGAAGTTCAACACTGGGATGTGAGAGTTCATGCACTTTTGGTAAAAAAAAATGGAGAGACTATATGAAATAAAGGGTACTGTTCCACAAGGAGTGCAGGAGCAGAGAGATTTGAGTGTATATTTGCATAAATCATTAATGATGGCAGAGCAGGTAGAGAGAGCTAATAATAAAGCATACAGTATTCACATGGACATACAGTATCAGAGCATGGAGGTTACACTTAACTATATAGGTCAGTGTTAGAAATCACATGACACCAGGTTATAGTCCAACAGGTTTATTTGAAAACACAAGCTTTCGGAGCCTCAGTCCTTCTTCAGGTATTAGTGAGAGAGGTAGTATCAGGCACAGAATTTATAAGTAAAAGATCAAAGGTTTACACCATCCTTGTTCAGTGTAAAGAAGAGGTGATATTTTAGGTCAGTCAACGCACGTTAGGTGTGAGGTCTTGTTTAGAATCTGTTTGTGTTTTAGTTTGGGGTCAGACTGGTTTTACTTCTAAAGTAGGAATTTATAAAACGCCGAGCAGAGGCTGGTAGCCAAGTTGGATACCCATGATGACAGCCTCAACTGGGATCTTGCGTTCATGTCGCACTACAGCTGACCGCTACACAATATACACTCTCTCACACAGATCCTCTCCCATACACACTCTGTCTCTCAAGCCTCTCTCTCTCCCCCCATCTCTCATACATATGCACACTCTCTCTCTCACAGACACACACACATGAACTCATGGGGTGAATTTGTATTTGCAGATACATTTTATTTTGTTCAAAAATCACACAATTTATAGACAGTCAGTCATTGTGGAGTTTTATACATTCCTACTTTAGAAATAAAACCAGTCTGACTCCAAACTAAAACAAACAGATTCTAAACAAGGCCTCACACCTAACATGCATTGCCTGACCTAAAATGTCACTTCTTCTTTACACTGATGAAACCTTTAGTTCTCTCAGGCCCATGACTTGAAAGGAATTTGGCAATTTACATATACATATTAATAAATTAAAACCTACTAACTGATTAAAGATAACAAGGTGTAGAACTGGATGAACACAGCAGGCCAAGCAGCATCAGAGGAGCAGGAAAGCTGAAGGGTCTAGGCTCTACACCTTGTTATCTCAGATTCTCCAGCATCTGCAGGTCCTACTATCTCTAACTGATTAAAGACTTATCAGTATCTTAGTTTTGGGACAACAAGGTGCAGGGCTGGATGAACACAGCAGGCCAAGCAGCATCATACATCCTCGTCAATGGGGTGAACCTTTGATACAAGGCAAAAAAAGACTTTTCACATAGCCAGTGGTCCAGATTAGGTCAGGTCTGGCACGTGTGTTGGAGTTTGGATCAATGGAGACATTCACGAGGGCCTGAATGACTGTTGAAGCAGAAACAACAGGGAGTGGTAGGGGCAAAGGCAGAAGTTTGGCAATCAAGTTAAAATGCCCAAAGAGTCAGGGCAGATACAATGGGCTGAATAATCTCCTTCTGCACATAATTGCTAACAAAAACAGAAATTGCTGGATAAGCTCAGCAGGTCTGGCAGATTTTGTGGATGGAGATCAGGGTTAATGTTTCCGGTCGAGAGTGACCCTTCCTCAAAAGTCCAGCAGGCCTACAAATTAGGAATAGGCACCCACCAACGCCCAAACCCCATGAAAGAATAAAACAAAACAATCCCTTCCCACTTTGCCACACATTCAGTTTCAAAGTGGGAGGAGAATATTTAACTTCGCCCATGCGTCCCTTGTTCACACTTGTGCACCTCTTACTGTCTCGGCTGTCGGAGGTGGGGGGAGAGATCTAGCGTGTACGCATGCGGGTGTGGGGACGTCCAAAAAAGGGGACCTAAACGGCGCATGCGCATGAATCCGATATCGTTCAACCAGCGGCACGTGATCTTCAAGTCATTACGCGCGGTCCAGTGGTACGCTACGCATGCGCAGATGGCTCCCGGAGGCCATCTTTAATGGCGGCCGGCGTACGGGATTCTTGTATTGTTTGATTTATCATCCTTGCACTACGTTCTGACGGTGTTCAATTCTTTCATTTGCTTGGGTCAAGATAGATTTGACGTTGAGGCATTCCAATAGTGCATTCTCCTGCAGGTAACTGAACATAGATATCTATCGGAAGGTAGTTGAACGGTCAATCGGTGCTTTTTTTTTCCTAAAAACTTCGATTGTGCGATTTTGGTATAATATAAGGGATCATGGCAGTAGGCATAGAGTGAGTAGGGTGCTAATGTTGGCGGGTGTAGGGAAAGGCAAAGGTGAATGTTGAATGGGTTTTGCCGAGGGTGGACCTGCGTGCTAGCTGGTCTGGACTTACCTTTTAAACTCCAGCTACAAAGCTCAGCGTTGGGGCCGCCCGGAAAGAAGCTGTTGAAATGTCAAAAAAAAAAGCACTGACTTTCCAAGGACAAAACCAATCGGAGTGAAATATCCTACTTTAAAACTTCGAATATTAGTTTAACTAAGCAGATACTTATAGCAATAAAACCAAGCCTGCAACAAACTGAAACACAAACAAAACGTGCTGGAGAAACTCAGCAGCTCTGGTAGCTGGTGTAGAGAAAGCAGAGATAGTTTTAGAGTCCAATGACTTTTCGTCAGGGGCAAGAGACAACATCCTCTAGCCCCAAATATTCCAACTTCTGTTGAAAGATTTAGATTTAGTATCTGAATAGATTCTTAATAAAAACTCTTGGAAGCATTTGTCATTAGTGGTTCTTAGAAAAAGCAAAGGGTATGGAAACCAACATCTTTGGACATAATGCACTTTTATGTTGAGAATTTAATTATCAAACTATGTTTCACTTTAAGTTCAAGTGCTCTTATCGCTGTTAAATAACTTTAGTTTATTGGAGAGATTGCACTGAGAATTGAGGGACTGCTTTTCTCTTAATGGAAAGAAATGTTTGTCTAGAACTGAAGGCTGACGTTTCAGGCCTAGACCCTTCTTCTGCTCATCCAGCTCTACACCTTGTTATCTCAGATTCTCCAGCACCTGCAGTTCCTACTATCTCTGTCTAGAAATTCTGGCTTTAAAATGTTAAAAAATCAAATCATCAAAAGAGAAATGCAAAAGAATGTGTACCAACTGACGGTTAGTTAAAGCTTTGGTCCAAAAATTAGGAAGTTTTTAAAAAAAGTAATATTTATGCCACAAGTGTACATTTATTCACTTTTCTCTTTGACTGAATATAGTCTGTAAAGATGATGTGGGCAGGGTTGCGAAATACTGGGTAAAGATCTGGTATTCTTGGTAGAAAATAAGAATAGAGTTACAACTAAAATGGAACTTGCTTTGAAAATATTTTAAAACAAACATCCTCAGAAGAGCCAGTAGATTTGAAAGAGAAGTCTTTCCTGTGGGAATTTGCATACCAGACACAGTGGCTCAGTGGTTAGCACTGCTGCCTCTCAGTGCCAGCGCCAGTGACCTGTGTTTGATTCCACCTTCTGGCGAGGGTGTATGGAGTTTGCACATTCTCCCTGTGTCTGTGTGGGTTTTGACCGGGTGCTCGGGTTTCCTCCCACAGTCCAAAGATGTGCAAGCTGGGTGGATTGGCCATGCTAAATTGCCCATAGTGTTTAGGGGTGTAGGTGGGTTAAACATAGGAAATGCAGGGTTACAGGGATGGGATGGGTCTGGGTGGGATGCTCTTTTGGAGGGTCAGTTTGGACTCATTGGGCTGAGTGGCCTGTTTACACTGTAGGGATTTTATGGAAACTCACCTAGGCACCAAAAACATTTGGTAAACATTTTTTTTTTTGAAATCACATACTGGAAGAGGGTCCTCTGTCTATGCAGCCCATTGCTATGCTGTTCTGGTTAGATTCTTATTGTCAGATGTTTGAGATGTTTTGTAATCCATTCTGGTCAGATATTATAACACACCTCTGGAGTAGGTGGGACTGGAGCCATGGCCCTCTGGCTCAGAGGTAGTAACAATACCTTTTGAACCACAAGAATCCCTTTGTCAGACCTTTGGCAATCTAGTTCGCAACAATTAGGTGTTGTATAATTCTTCATTTGATGTGGACTTCACTTTTATTCTTGCTTAAACATTACAAGAAAAGTGGACTAGTCTGAGTTATGTATACTGTTTGGCTCATCTGCTGTGAACTCCTTTAATTTTGAGGAGCACAGATATCAGCAGAATATTTTCAGCATTTCTGTCTGTACAATAAAACAGACATTTTGCACAATGTGGTAAATTGCTGTACTTATCAATTAAATTGATTTTCTTGATTTGTCACTGTCATTGTTTCATAGACACTGAAAAAATCAATGTATAAACCCTTAAGCTCTTAAAATAAACCTAAAGGAAATTATCTGGTCTGTACTCCCCTGTCCTATAGTGGAGAATAATTTGAATGCAACACTAATTTTGCTAGTGTCACTGTGGATATGACTGGTATGTCTTGTCCATCTCAATTGTTTTTCAGAAAGTGATGTTGACTCATGTTGTTGAACAAAATCTATTTGGCTCTCTAGGCTATTTTGAGTCTGCAGGAAGACTGATTTTCTTTTCCCCCTAAAGGATGTTTGTGAACCAGATGGATTTTTAACCAATCTGCTAGTTAGATAACCAAGATTTTGTTTTTTTTTTGTTGTTAGATGAGCCAGCATTCGCTGCATATCTGCTTGCCATTGAGCAGGTAGTGTTGAGCTGCCTTTTTGAACCACTGTAGTCCATTTGTAGCTAGCTACATTCATAATGCTGTTGGGGAGGGAGTTCCAATATTTTAACCCAGTGACACTGAAGAAGGAGCAATATATTTCCAAGTCATGATGGTGAGTGGCTTGGAGTGGAACTTGCGGCTGGTGGTGTACCTATGTATCTATTGTCCTTGTCTTCCTAGATGGTTGTGCTTGTGGATTTGGAAGTTATTGACTAAGGAGCATTAGTGAGTTGTTGCTGTGCATCTTGTAGCTGGTGCACGCTGCTGCTACTGAGTATCGGTAATAGAAGGAGTGAATGTTTGTGGATATAATAAATCAAATGGGTGGCGATGTCCTGGATGGTATCAAACTTCGTGTTGTTGGAGCTGCACATGTCCAGGTCGTGAGGAGTATTCAATCATGTGTGGCTTGTAGATAGGCAGAAGGTGAGTTATTTGCTACTGGGTAATGAGCCTCTGATGTGCTCTTCTAGCTATTTATGTCTTGTCTAGTTCACTTTCTGGTAAATGGCAACCCCAGTATTTTGATAGTGAGGGATTCAGTGATGGTAGTATCATTGAACGTAAAGGACTGATGGTTAGATTTTCTTGTTGGAGATGGTCGTAGCTTGGCAGTATGTATGGTGTAATTGTTACTTGACACTAGTCAGCCCAGGCCTGGATTTTGTCAGATCTTGTGGCAATTGGACATGGACTGCTTCAGTATCTGAAGTGCAATGGTGGTGAATGTTCGATTTGTAACCAAGTATCCCCACTCATCCTTTGTTTGTATCCTGGACCCAACCGTCCTTGGCTATGTTGAGGAACTCGTGGGCTGATCTTCACCAGCCATGGCTATCTTGGCTGTTACCAAGTATGATTGCAATGAGAAGAGTTTTTCACTATTTCCCATTGAGACCACGTTTGCTAAGGTGCCTTGATGACACTAGACAAGGGCAGTCATTCTCGCTTCACTCTTTCAGTTCATCTCTTTTGTCCACGTTTGAACCAAAGTTGTAATGAGCTCAGAGGTTGTGCCTTTGGCAGAACTGAAACTCTGTCAGTGAGCTGGTTATCGTTCAGCAAGTGCTGCTTGATAACACTGATGGCATCTTCCCTCACTTTCCTGATACTTCGTTCAGTCTACTCTCAGTTGATAATTGGCCAGGTTGGATTTGTTCTGCATTTTGTATACAGGAATACCTGGGCAATTTTCCAGCTTGTTGGTAGAGGCCAGTTTTGTAGCTAAACCAGCTTGGTTTCGGTGCAGAAAGTTCGGGAGCACTACTGTTGTTAGGATCGTTGCAGTATCCAGTGCCTTCAGTTAATGCTTTTTATCGTGTGGAGTGAATTAATTTGGTTGAAGGGGCATCTGATGGCTAGAAATGTCGGGAGGGGGACACAAAAGTTCGTCCTCTCGCCGCATCTGATTGAAGATTGCTGCAAATGCTTTAGCCTTATCTCTTGCTCTGATGTGCTGGGCTCTACACCATTTAACAATTGAGACATTTGTGGACCCACCTTCCTTATTAAGTTGTTTTGATAGTTCATTTTACAAATGGACATGGCAGAACTGCAGTACTTGGATTGTCTTCATTGGTTGTTGGAGCTGTTTAGTCCTGTCTGTCACTTGCTCCTTATCCGGTTTGACGTTCAACTAGTCATGTTCCGAGCTGCTTCAGTTGATATGTCACTTTTTGGAATGACTGGTCCTGGGGCTGCTCCTTTGAATCAGGATTGATCTCCTGGCTTAATTATGGTTGTGTGTGGACTGTGCTGGACCACAAGGTTGCAGATTATGGCAGAGTACAACTCTGTTGCTGGTGGCCTGTAGCTTTTCGTGGGTGCCCAGTTGTAACTTGCTAGATCTGTTTAGCATAGTGATTTGAGCACAACCTTTGTGTTGTGGGGCACTGTGGCGAAGGGACTCTGATCACTGATCACCGTGCAGTCCCTCTAGAGACAATATTACTGATGCTATAGTGGGCAGATATCTGCAACAGGCAAACTGATGAAGATGAGGTCAAATATGCATTTCCATCTTGTTGGTTCTTTCACCACCTGCCCAGGGATCAAGTCGAGGAGCTACATCCTTGAGGATTCAACCAACTTGGTCAGCGTTGGTTATGGACTTTGAAGACCTCATGCAGAGTACAGTCTGTGTCCTTAGCATCTCACTGCTTTCTGCAAATATGTTCAACATGGAGGAACATTGATTCATCAGCTGAAGAGGGTGGTATGTGATGATCAAGTAGTTTCCTTGCTGATGTGTGACCCATGCTGTGAGGCTAACTAAGATCTGAAGTCAACGTAGAGAATGCCAAAGACAACTCTGTCCCGACTTATACCTCTGTGATACCACCTCCACCTGGGTTTGTCTCTGCATACTTGGGGACGGTGAAGATATTTCCTGGGACATTGTGTGTAAGTATGATTAT